ATAAGGGCTGGCTTTAAGCTTTTTTAAAATTTACTTATTAATAGTTTTAGTGTAGTTTAGAGGATGGGACAGCTGAGATGGACCAGTACGTTCCATGTTGTCCCAAAACATTATGTTATTCCTGGTCTTATGAGTGGACGATGTTGTAATCCACACTGCTACTACAAAGTGGATCCCAAAAGTGAGTTCCTGGTTTTTGAAAGTTTCAATCTGACCACAGTATAAAGTAAATAGCAACCTTTTTTTTTTTTTTTTACTGGCAGCTCAGGTGATACTTTGGGGTTACAATCTCTCTTATTTTTCAATGGGAATAACCAACAGTGACATGAATCTAAAAAAAAAGACCTAGAACGTTGCACTTTCGAATAGTTGACTAATCTTCTTCAGGAGAATAAAGAAGAATAGTCCTGAAGAAGAACAGTCAACTATTTGAAAGTGCTCAAGTTCTATGGCTTTTTTTAAAATTCATTGCACCTTTTGTGTGTGATCTTGCATGCTAACTTTTATCAGAATCAACAGTGATATGGGTAGTGCACCTAAGAATACCACAAGTATATGCAGTGAAGATACTTTTTAACCTGCCTTTGTTTGAGATGGGGGTATTTTATGATTTATACGCACACTGCAAATTGAATTTTTTTATTTAAATTCATTATACATACATACACGTATATAAAGCTAACATTTTGCGGTTTTTTTTTTTCATCTTGCTGCAAAAGACTTAGAATAACAAGCAGCTAGCAATATTTGCTACATATAAAGTGTATTAAAAACTTAACTAAACAAACTTGAAAGTTGAATACATATACATTCCAAATGTTAATATATATGTTTAGAAAACTCAGAAGAGTTCTTTCACATTTGAGATGTACAAACGTGGATGAAAAATGAGCAAGTGACGTTTAATAAACGTATGTTTTTTTCTAGTGAAATTAAGGAAGAACATGTTACAACCGAAACGAACACACGTACACAAATATATTCATAGTGACAAAAACAAGACTACTATGTAGCAGATTGTTCAATGGTAAATAGTACAGTTTAGGACTACCTTACGTTACAAAGCTGAACGCCTATCAAAACACATTTTATAAATAGGAGAACTCATAATGAAAAGACTATTTTATATTATTACACTAATTAAGTAAATACAGATAAAAGTAGATTTCAAGAAACAGCGGTTCTCTTCTTCAGGACAATAATAAGTTGTACAGGAACACGGACGTTAGTGAAGTGTGGAATCACGGTGCATGATAAGTAGTTGATTCCAAACGTCACTAATGTTCGTGTTCTTGTACACTCCCCTTAAGGAGAGAACCGATGTTTCTTGAAATGTTTAGCACAGTTCCATTTTTATCTGTATTTACTTAACTAGTGTAAAAATGGGAAAGAAATAGTCTTTTTGTTATAAGCTGAATACATTTTTAACTTATTATTTTTTATGTTTTCTAGATGTTTAAGTCGTACATTTTCTAATAAGTAGCTAATCCACGTAATTTATTACAGTAATTATTTAACCTTTAAATGGTAATGAATAAAAAACAAAAATGAACGTTATATAACAAGATACAGGGCGTGGCGCGCACTAAAAATATTGCCATCAGATCAATGTAAATTCAATAGTAACAATAGTAATACAAACAAAGGTCATGGTCCTACGGTGGGAAGAGGAACTGGCCAGTCTTTCTTTTTAAAACGGTCTAAACTAAATATTTTGTCAAATTTTACACAGCAAGTTACATTAAAAATACTATACTTGATTTAAGCCCGTCTACAACCCCACTTATTGGGGATTTGCAGCAACGCTTTCGCAGCTTGCTACTATGTAACACTTTTTTTTAATTTTTTATAATGATTTAATTCCAGGTGTCCCTCGTGGGACAGAACTTCTATGTCTACGTAATGACTGGTGTACGTAAACATAAGACAAACTTTCCATATTAAAAACTTCCCAACATAATTAAACAGGAAATGTAAATTAATTGAATAAATCCCATTTTCTAATCATCTCTGTCGTTTGTTTGGGGAATACTACCCGCATTACATCATACTGCGATCATGTGGAACGAAGGACTTAAAGACAGTGTTAAATGAAATATTTTGTGCCTACTTTATCGTAACATTGGTTTATTAATAGTAGCTTTGTAGTTATTTCGCCAGTTTATCGCTGTGTAGTATGTAATGAAACAGCATATTTTTATATCATAATAACCATTCTTTATATTATATTTATAGACTAAGCTTAAGAGTGTAGATTTAGAGGCAATAGCGCCTCTATGCTACATAAGCACTGGCATTTTTAGTGAACTGACTAAATATCACAAAAATAAACTAGGATACAGATTATTCGCATGCGCAATGAGAAGGTGGACAGAAGCCTCCGCTGCAGTTGTTTATACACCAAACGTCCATTCCTGGTACTGTCTTCCAAACACTCACAGGATAGCATACTTTCCTCCTCCCATTAGGGTGCTTTACTAGCGGAGCTTTTGGTTTATTGGTGTGCCTTATATGAGGTCTGTGAGTAGGCCTCCAGATTCGTTTTGTGGGGGGAGGTGAAGGTTGTGGTTGTTGAGGTCTCACTGGCTCAAAGTTATCCCCCTGAATAGAGACATCAGCACAACCTCGGAAAGTTTCTTGTGGACCACATCCTACACTCTGCGAGCCATCTTCACAAGTGCCCCAGTTATTTCCTGTAAAGATTAGACCAGTCTGAGAAAAGAATCACATTTTTTGTGTTATCTTGCAAAATTACCAACTCAGATAAAAAACAAAACAAACGGGAGAAGCAAAGTTTTCTAGTTCAGTTTTAAAAACTGAAAACCTTGATCATAATTCAATAGTTAGGTATAACTTCGTGAATGTATTCATTTAAAAAGTCATTTTCATGAAAAAAGTTTTCGCTTTTTAAATACTTATCAACAAAGAATAGATAAGTTTGCAGAATATAAAGTACAACAATTATTTTTAAACACACAAATATATACTTTTATGTTTCAACTGTTTGTAATAACTTCAAAGACCTGGTAGTTAAGGTGCTCGCAATCTGTGGGTCGCAAGATTGAAACCCGTCGCCGAACATGCTCGCTCTTTCAGCCATGTTATATATATATATATATATATAACGGACAGATAGTCTTTTTATTTGATAGTAAAAAGTAATTAACTAGATGTCGGTGGGTGATGTTGGCTAACTGCCTTTTCTTTTGTCTATCACTTCAAAATTAGGGACGGCGAGCGCAGATAGCCCCCGAGTCGTATTGCGCGAGAATTCCACAAGAAAAACGAACAAATATTTGTAGAACATCTATGTAATAGTGACACCAATACACTTCATTAATATTATATTGTTAACCGAATTATCTTTGTAATGGTGACACCACATACTTCATTGATATTATATTGTTAATCGAATTATCTTTGTAATGGTGACACCACACACTTCATTGATATTATACTGTTAACCGAATTATCTTTGTAATGGTGACACCACACACTTCATTGATATTATATTGTTAATCGAATTATTTATTTTATCACGTTAACAGCTTTTTTTCGTGTTTTATTTTTAAATCAACATACTAGCCCTCCCGTGGCTCAGTGGTAAGTCCGAGGGCTTATAACGCTAAAAGTCGGGTTTCAGTACTCGCGTTGGGCAGAGCACAGATACCTATTGTGTATCTTTGTGCTTAAAAACAAACAAAAATCAACCTACCGGCAGTATAAGTCCATTGGAACACACACTGGGTGCAAGTAAGTCCAGAAGGGAGTCGTAGCTGGATTTTGTAAGTATCTGGTCGATTGTTAGGCACGATGTACTTGTAGCCAGATCCGTCCGCTAGGGCAAGAGGATAACGATCTAAACATTCCTGAGTAGCCACCTTTTTGGGATTATTATTGGGGCATAGTTTAAATTCGAAGAAACCTTTATGATTCGCTGTTAACTGCACCTTGGCTGTGATTTCCTATAAAACAGCAGAATTCAAATTTAAACATTTTTTTAACGCTCCAGTTTACTGTCTCTTTCAATTAGCCAGAAAAAAATTTTAAATAGAGGGAGAAAGATGTTAAACACTACAATAACTAAGAACGCACTCTGTTATATCAATCTATTCATCGGTAGTTGTAATACGATATTACAGTAAATACTTGCAGAGTTATAAAACTACTCATCCAGTGACTACAACACTGAACGTGACTTAATCAATGATTTAAGTTTATTGAGAAGTTTTGTTTCTTTGTAGTTAAGCATAGAGCTATACAAAGGGCTATCTGTGCTCTGCCTATCACGGGTATCGAAACCCGGTTTTTAGCGGTGTTAGTCCACTGTGCTACTGGGAGGGGGAGGTTATTTGATAAAGGAGAATGTGCTTGATATTGGTAAAAAACAGAACGTACATGGGCTGAAATATCGGGTAAGTTAGAGCTATTCGCAGCCTTTTAAATCAGAAATCAATAATAAATTACGTATTTTCATTCATTGTGATCCTTTATTCATTTATTAAATCAAATGATGACTAAAGACTACCAATTTAATAAGCTGCAAACAGAAGGCTGGAGAACAGAATCGACTTACCACTCGGTTATATAGAATGAAGATAATCACATTTTATTTATTCAATTTCACTTCATAAAGTAAGTGTACCGACTTCAGTGAAACTTTATGAATGTTATGAATGAAGTATTGTTTGACACTAGTTTTTTTAGAGTGATAGACAAGCACATGTAAGTTTGAAACATAATTCCAAGCATGTGAAGTTTCTAGTTTTAATGTGTTATGTAGTAGTAAACGATCAAGTTTGTTTGTATGGATCTATCATTTCTTATATGTGAAGTAAATACACAAGGGTTAATCTATAACTTTCACAGTTTGTATACAGCATCCGTTCAAATATAAAGCAGAACACATGTAGCCCCTGTGATCGAAGTTAAACTAACGTTGGCTATATATCTAAATAGTGTGATTTTTAGATCAGATATACCGTATTAATTTACCATTTATCTGAGGTTGAGTTAATTTCTTTACACGTTTTTCTTAAAAACTACACGATAACAAAACTCGCTTGTTCTTTTTCTTAGGTCTGTAAAGTGTGCTGATGCAAGTAAGATCCCTTAAATCTTCACTGAAATTTCAATATGTAGTACTCAAATTTATGCAACATATACGACTAATCAAAATGTAAAAAATTCAAGATAAAAGTGAATCACGCGGTACGTGTGTTTTAAAGACACCAGACACACAGTACTTTCGCTTTTTCTATACCTTATTTTGTAGTGAAGATCAGAGAAACCCTTCATTATGAACCATTTTAAAAGCATAAATATTTCGTAATGATGGATAAGATGAGGATGTGCAATATGTAGCCTTGTACACTTTGAAATCGTGTACGTAAAAGCACTTCTTTTGAGGAGTTGTGTCTGGGAAAAATAGATGTTATTGTATCTCACGAGCATTGATAACTTATCACATGTTTGTGAAGTCAAAGTTTATACTTAAAGCAAGCTTATGATTTAACTAATGTTGTTAGAAGACTTGTGATAACAGAATAAATCTTGCTTCCAGACAGCCTTCTCAGAATAATTATCAACATGAAAGGGTCTTCACAATCACTTCCCCGGGTTTTCATTCATTAATATGCATACATATTCAAGATTCTACTTTTTATTCTACTATGAGAAGAGGACGTAATCTTTTTTAAAATTATTGAAATAATAGAAAATGTATTAATCTTATCACCCAGTTGAAAATTGTGAAATATCCACAACTTGTGGACAACTGACCCTAACTTGCAAGGGCGTCATAACCGGTGTGGCAAATGGGGCGTTTGCCCCACTAATATTGTTTTGATCATTTTTGCTACTAAACGATATTATGCATCATAGATATTACCTAGTGGTCAAATATTGCCACAAATAAATTAATTTTAAGCCAAGTAATTGCACTTGCTGATTTGTATCTTGTGTGCAATCATTGTAAATCAAGTATTACATACAACAAACGCTATAAACTCAAACACATGCATAATAGTTAAATATAAGTATACAACGAAAATCGTTTCATTGCCTTGATGTTTTTCGTTTGTTTAGCAGTAATCTGCCGCTAGACGATTGTAATTTTGTTTCATGCCATAGTTTGTTTTTTCGTAGTGTCTATTGCCGTTTGAATGGCAAATAGTAACAAGATAGATAAAAACATGGGAATTTAAAAACCTGCAAAAAGGGATCATAAAAAAAGTAAGGAAACAAGGCTGGATATACTGTAGACATTATTTACTCAAACTACAAAACCATAGAATTAGATTTGATGGAGTCAAAATAGGGATTTGTAGTTTGAATAAATAATGTCTACATCATCTTCAGCCTTGTATCTTTACTTTGTTTTGTAACGATCCCTATTTGCAGGTTTTTAAATTCCCAATTTTTTATTTATATTGTTTGCTGGCCTTTTTTATGCTCAACTATTGGCAAAGGATTACTTGATATGGTAGCTAACTTTATACATTGTAATGATAATAAACCTAGCTAGTAGCTAACTAATACGGTCCATGAGAATTCACTGTAGCTATTGACTATTTGATAACATTAGTTCGAAATGTAAGATGTTAAGCCAGCTGGGGATTTTCATGGAAATTTGCTTGAGAAAATAATGAGCACTTATAGTTTCTGTGTAACAAAATTCTCTATATATAATGCATAACAATGGGCAAATATATGCATAGACTAAGACACAACCCTCCACTAAGGGCGTATAAAATTGTATCAGTAGAAATTTTAAAGTAATTATTCTACAAATGTGTGTAATAACATTTAATGTTATGTGTATTGAATTTTTTTACTCCTTCACTTCATACATAATATATGGGTTGGCTTCCTAAAGACACCGATTGTATAATGTTTAAAGCATTGAGTATATACATGTTACAGTCATTTAATGTTCATCTATTATTGTCTGGTAATTCCTGTTTCACCCTGAATTTAAGCTTTTTAGAGGAACATCTTATATTTGCAAGAAAACTAACTTACTTCAAGGCATAATTATAACATCGCTTACCCTAGAATTATGATGTTTTTAGCTTATGTTACATATACAAGAAATAAAACACTTTTCCATACTCCTACGACTTTCGCACTACGTTATTTAGTATTTTATAAAAGGTTTGGGTGCATTATACGAAGCCGTTTTTGTTGTAGGCTGGCGCGAAAATAATAATAATAATTACAAACGGGCCGTTTTGAGCGGATTTTCTTTTCCTTTTAAGTCTAAGATGCGTGCACTTTTTGTGCATTTTTCTATGTGTAAAACCGTAGCAGTCAATAGTAAAAGTTTTAATGTGTTGTTTGAACTGAATCTTTACTGTTTAAGGTGCTTTTTGCTCGAACATTCTATTAGGGTTTTGTGCAATTCCTTGTGATCTCTATTATGAACCACTATCGTGGTTTATGATAGCAAGCATGTTCAGTGAAACATTTGTTTTAGAAATCTAATACTTGTGTGAATTCATTTTTCATTTCTGTTATAATCTGTAATCGTATTTAACCTTAAGATGATAAAAAAAACAAATCTTATACTGATTGCTTTGCGTTATATAAACACAGTTAAATTATTGCAAAACACATCCTTTGTAATAATTATTCTCCAATGCACTCGCTTAACAAAGTGGGGATAGACACGGTCATAGCTTTTAGTTTAATGACATTTTATAATGGTTTCCCGTTCAACCATCGTAAATTTGCTTCTCAGGCCCCTGTCTTGATGACAATTAAAATAGTTTACAAGTTACAACAATTTTTCAATAAGATAAATATATAGACCAATTTGCATATTTAAACTTAATAAACTTTGTTTCTAAATGTCATTGAAAAATTTGTAACAAGTTACAGCAAAAAGGCTATTATTCAATTCTAGGTATTGAAAAATGAAACAAAAAATATTTTTCAATTCCATTGTTAAAATATGCAAGAGGAAGGCAATTATTCAAGTCCGCTATGGATAAGATGTAAAAGAAAGCTTGTTATTTGATTTTAGGTATTGAATAGATGTAAAAGAAAGCCTATTATTCAAGTGTTAAAAAAAAGAATTAGAAAGATCTGTTGTATTTGCTTTAGAGTTAAAAACGTTTTGTTGTCTCCACTTTAAAAAGAAATGAGAGCCCTTTCAACATACGACATTCACTAATAACGCGATAAAGCATGTTCAAAAATTTATCTTATGTGAACCCGTATGTCTTACTTTCATGTTGAAAACTTATTTCCAGTGTGATGATGGATAATGAAAAACAACTTCACAGTGTTACATTACAGAAACAATGAAACAAAAATCTAATATTGTAACGCGACAATCGAGTTTCTTAGTACAGATTACGTTGATTATGCTTGATTTCAAGTTGAAATGAAATGAATATTTTTTTACAGTGCAGAAGTATTAAATATTCATGATATAAAGTAATATTTAATCTTGGTGATACCATGTTGTCCCCCCCCCCTCCCCGCTCAGTGGAAGGTCTGAGGGCTTGTAATGGTTAAAAACGAAACAAGAACAATTTTGTTTACTTATGGTAATATCATCCCTCGTTTCGGTGATCTAATTAAGAAGATATTCAAAGCACTTCGTTTTCACTCTCTCGTAATTAAACAATTTAGGCTCTTGGTGACAGCTCATTCTGGAGTGTGTATTTGGAGTTGTAATTTGTCGTTCAAACACATCAGCACGTTAAGGAAGATACTCAATAATACAATACTTAGTATTTTATTAAACGTTACTTTAATTCTTATAAATAACTTAATAAAACCTTACCTGTCCATTTTGATATTTTTTCACGATAATTCCTTTCCCGTAAATACCTCCTGCCTCATTTTTTCGAGGTTGTGGATCGTTCCATGCGTCTCCACATATTCCACATTTTCCGCCATTTCGTTTCCAATGAACCTAAAGTACAATTAGTTCACATAAGGAGTTCAACTATCAGCAGACGCTACTAACTAAAACATTCACAAGCTTTCTTCTTTATTGTACCTAAATTACATGTCCAATTTCTTCAGTATGTTCTATTTCATTCAATCTTTAACAAACTCGTGTATTAGTCTTCATCCAATGGTTCTAAAATTCAGATAGAGTTTTCCACAAGTAGCACGTTTTGACGTAATTTCAAAATGTCGTTGCTCTAGCTTTTGAAGGACTTAAATGGAACTATATATATTTTATTTATTTCCTCTGTTCACTAGTTTTGTTGTAATTCCTGTTAATAAGCTCTTGATAATTTGAAATTTACTGATTGTATTTTACACCATACACTAATGGTGGTGGGGCACACAATTAATTAAACCATGTTGATAACCTTATGTTTTACCTGTTACAACACCCAGTGTAAAGGACTGATAAAAAGAACAAAAACATGATTAACTGCAATATTAACGATATTTTGTATATATTTTTTGTAGTGTGACTCATGTTATTAGGAACCCTGCAATCAACAAAGTCATGAACCCATAAACAATTTGGTGCAAAAATAGTTTAGAAAACTGTGTTTTAAAAAGTTGATATGACATGAAAGCTATTGCTAATTCTAGGGTTAAGTACGAAAAACTAGGATAGTGCGTTTTAGGCCACCTAATATGCTCATTAAGCAATTACCCAGCAGATGGTTGACGGTAGACGGTTAGACATGGTTACTTACTGAAGGGTTTATTCTGCCATGCAGTTCACTGACTTAGCTTCAGGCGTTTCATATAAGAATATTGTTATAATATTATTCTTTCGTTGACGGTTCTTTTAAATTATGTGGTGAAAATAATTCAACCTCCAGTCCATGTAACTATAACGAATTAGCTTATTTCCTCCTTTAATGTTCCTACAGGCTTAAACACTTTAGTAACTTATAGGTAGGCCACGTTTACAAATGACGCTAAGTGTAACTTACTAGCGTGAAAAAACAAACTTACTTGTACGAAGTAATTCAATATGCGCGGTATCTAACAGAGATTCAAATACTTCACTAAAAATTAAAACACTCTGTCTGATTCACTCTACCAGCTAGAAAGAACTCTCTACAGTCTCAGTTATCTTCTTAATTATCCCTTTTCTTACGCTTTACCAAACCCTGTATATATATATAACCTACAATCAGATTTACTAGAAAACTCTGACGTCAAATCTTTCAGAATTTTCTAAGTGTTGTAGGCCTACCTTAATATTATAATCATAACGACTTTTCATTTTATCACTAGATGACTTAAGGTCATTCTCGGATAAAGTAATGTATGGGATCAACGGTGTTTCTCTGTATATGTCTCTTCTGAGTGACTATTTTCTAGATGGCAGTATAGAAGGTCCAATAACACTTTAAATTTTCTTCCGAACATTAATGACGACAGTATTTTGCCGCTTGTTTTATGTATTACTGTACAATAACTCATAAGTAACAGTGGAAGATCTTGTGTGGTAGGTGGTGATTACTAGCTGCCTTCTCTCTAGTCTTACACTGCTAAATTAGGAACGGCTAGCGCAGATAGCCCTCGTGTAGCTTTGCGCGAAATCCATAACAAACAAACAACCCTTTAGCACCCGGTGTTGTGGCTTTTCACATTCAGTGCGTATGGAAAGGCCGGTCTCTGTCAATAAATTTTATGTAAATTATCCGTTGGTGTCAGTGCCTGTGCGATAGTGCAATAACCTAGTCAAGGTCTAACTAACCTTTTTATTTCATAAAAATTTTGATTTGTAGCCTAATTTTCTTCTTGGCTGCTTGAGTGTATTTGGGTGTGAATGTGTATTTCGTGGGAAAGAAAGTTGCGTGAAGCACAGTTTTGACTTTTAGTTGTAAGATATATGTAGTTCACGCTGTGGGACTGAAGTCATTATTCAAAACCCTCAGCTAGCCAGTTTAAAAACTAATATATTTAGTTAAAGGGCCAATTAGTTTGAAAGATTGAATAATTAATGCTCAGGAAAGGATATTCTGACGACACTGAACAGTAGTTTTTTGTTTGTATTAGCGCAAAGGCTATTTGGGTTCTGTCTATCACGGAAAATCGAATCCCATAATTTAGTGTTGGAAGTTCGTAAATATATCGCTCACCAACTGGGAGATAACAATAATCGTTTTTTTACAGTTTATTCAGTTTTAATTTTTAACCACTAGGGAGCCACTAGATGATATTAGGGTATAGAAAACTTAAGCTGGCAAATAATATTGGGCAGTTAATATGTGTGCGATATTACATCTCGATAAGACTAATATTTAAATCTCACCTTTTTTTTTATTAATCCAATCAACCCACTGAGCGCGGTAGGCATTAGACGGAGTATAGTTTCAATGCTATTGTCCACCCTTCTTACTGGAAACCTCTACTGGGCCAGTAAAAAAGTATGTGCTTTAATTCATAATCAGTTGCTGAGAGAATTTTTGTTTTGGTAATATATACACATGTGTTGTTAAAAGTGTAACGCCAATAATTCGCTAAGTATTTCGGTCATAAAGTATACTAAAACTTTGATGTAATTAATTAAATTAAATATTATTATCATGGACTAAAGTTTTGATTTTATTGATTCATTAAATTTACTAAAAGCAGAGTATGCTAAGATATAGACTTCGCTAATACACTATCCATGCTGATCGTGGGTTATGCTAAAAATGACATCATTGAGTCACTAAGCACACTCAATGGTACTAAAGTCAGTAAGCACACTCAATGGACTGTAGTAAATGAAAAGAGTGATGTATAAGAAAGTAAAAGTGATCCTATTGAAGTTTACAAGATTTATATTATGTATCGATTGGATAAAGCCTCTGACTAATATATGTTATATTTTGAAGACATCAGAACGAGAAGACACAAGTTTAATATCTGAAAAAGACAGTTAGGACAGTTTTATTTCTATAAGAGGGTGAGTGTCTTAAGGCATGAATTGCCATAGACAATAATGGAGGGCGGCACTACAAAAGCTTAAAAGGGGGAATCCACAATTTCTTGAAAATAAAGAGTTGGCTTACGTTTTTTTTTGGAGGCTTTAAAAGACAAAATGGTCCTCTGTTGTTTGATTTTTTATGTACTTTATTGTTTAAAGAAATTTAAAAAATCAATTTTGTAAAAAAAAAAATACCAATATTGATTATATTGCTAGTAAAACTATTGTTCTCTATAGGAAATCAATGATAATATGGTTTCACAGTTTTGTAGAATCAGAGGTTGAAATTAACATAAATTATACAGAGACTGTGAAAAAAGCTGAATATGGAGTAAATGTTGCCTGACCTATATGATTGAAAGGAAAACTAAAAGTTTCAACCTCGCTTTATAAAGTATATCCGCAGAATTTGAATAGAAATTGTCTCAGCAGTAGCATTCTTCAACAACATGAAAGTTGAGCTTTGTCTTGAGACCTATTACCATGAGGAACTAGTCAAAAGTGAAATAATAGTATTTCTTATCATTCATATGACCTCTATGCTACCATTTCTCTTGGTATTTCGTATCTTTCATATGAGTTCTAAACTGTCATATTTTCTAATATATTAAAGCCCTCAATTAAACGGAATACTGTTTAGTTTATTGTTTTTTTATAAAATTTGAGATTATCAATATATGATTATTTTAAAACATGTTTTTTGGTAAACACAACACACAAAACAAATTGTAGACACGTTATTACTGTTCATAGAAATGCTCAAATTACAAACGTAATGTGCAAAATAAGTGTTATCAATTGAAAATGTAATTTACGTAGACAGATATTTAGAAACAGTGGGAATATAAACAAGAAAAATACTTCTATGATGATGGATACATTGGAAACAGCGAAAAATGTATGCAACGTTATAGCTGAGGCTTCATAGTTGCTACTACTTGTAGTTCAATGATTATATGTGAATCATTACTCTTCTTATCTGTGTAAAACACTGGAAGTAAGGATCAAATATTTGTATATAAAAGCAAAGTTGACAATAATTTCTAGGTGTTTGAAAAGAACGAGTTGTTGTTTCCGCTGGCGCTCACAACATATTAACCAAGACCTTGGAACATAATGATAATTATACCACAAGGGTGATCTAATGCAAACAGACATTTTCCTGGGAATGTTATCACACTGGATGATTCACAATATCATCCTGGGCTTGGCGGGTGCTAACCTCCTGAACTGAGTGTGTGACCAGACGCTGTACGAAGTTATCCAGTTAATTTGATCACTACCCAAACAAGATAGCAGGCAGAAAACATAATTATATTTAAGACCTTGATGATACCAGTGCTTTATGCATGATGATGGTAAATTGCATAAAGGCATTAAACATGTTTTTTATAATTATTTGGATGTGTTTTTATAGTGAGATCATCTCGATGTTACTACATGTACACTCATCTAGTTTCTCTGTTATATGATTATAGACTACTGTAAATATATTCTGTTAATTTCTGTGTTAGTGGCTGTAGGTACACTCATCTAGTTTTATAGGCTGTTGTTTGTTTACTTCACTAACTTTTGTACTAATGATTACGATAACCGGACGTAGCTAATTTTTGTACTAGTGATTATGATAATCGGACATAGCTAGTGTATGTACTAATGATTACGATAACCGAACGTGGCTAGTTTTTGTACTAATGATTACGATAACCGGACGTAGCTAGTTTTTGTATTAATGATTACGATAACCGAACGTAGCTAGTGTATGTACTAATGATTACGATAACCGAACGTGGCTAGTTTTTGTACTAATGATTACGATAACCGAACGTGGCTAGTTTATGTTCTAATGATTACGATGACCGAACGTGGCTAGTGTTTGTACTAATGATTACGATAACCGAACATGGCTAGTTTTTGTTCTAGTGATTATGATAACTGAACGTAGCTAGTTTTTATACTAGTGATTACGATAACCGGACGTAGCTAGTTTTTGTACTAATGATTACGATCACCGAACGTAGCTAGTTTTTGTAGTAATGATTACGATAACCGAACGTAGCTAGTTTTTGTCCTAATGATTACGATAACCGGACGTAGCTAGTTTTTGTAATAATGATTACGATAACCGAACATGGCTAGTTTTTGTAATAATGATTACGATAACCGAACATGGCTAGTTTTTGTTCTAGTGATTATGATAACCGAACAAGTTGGCACGCTCTTTAAACAGTGTGCATGCGTGTGTATCATTTGTGTCTCCACTTCATCATACACATTATAGTTTTCGTATAACTCCAGGGGCAACAAGCGATCGACCTATCTCCTTCTCTTTGAAGCACATTTTTGTGAAATATTGGGGAAGGAGGGGACAAAAGATATGTTGGCCTCTTAAACATTATTGGAAAGAGCCAAGCTATCCTCTCCGCAAATACAGCATAATTTTTAGTGAAATATTATTAACTGTATGGGCGTCCGCGGAAGGGCAAGAGCGGACAATTGTCCCCCTTATATTTCACCAAAAATTGAACGTATTATGATGTATACTTAACATCGTGGTTAAACTAAATATTTTTTTATTCAAACTGTAAATTTGTGTTTACGTTTAAGCACACATAACATATATTCTTTTAGTCTGTGGACTTACACTGTAAAAACTCACTCCCTGCATACGTGTCCTCACCCCCCTGAAAATATTTCTGTGAGCACCCATGTCTGATACAAAGTTATTTGCAGTTAGGAATGTAATTTTGTGCAATGTTATATAAAGCTTCTTTATTAGTATAGTTGTCCCTGTGTTAAAGAAGATATTCTTCAAAGTACTAGAAAAGTGTTAGCCCCATACTGATCAATACGATTATTCTATAGCACTCAGCAACTGAAATTTTATATTTGTGGAAAATCACGTATTTGATACATTGTGAGATATCAACCACAGAATCATATATATGTGTTAAAGTTAACATCTATATAATAAGATTCAGTGTGTCCCATAGCTCCTCCTAAACCGCTGGCCGCACTGACGCTTAAATGGTACCAAACGAATCGTCTTGGACCCGAGGTTTGCACAAAGGTACAATTTTTCGCCCCAGCTCTTGGAGAACATAGGGAATTCCCAAAAAATTATTATAAACTGTTGGATTAACCAACTTCTAAGTGGTGCCAAACAAATCGTCTCGGCCCCAAAGTTTGCACAAAGGTAAAACTTTTCACCTAACCCCTTAGGGAACCCGGGTATTTCACGAAAACACTTTTACGGGGATTCTCCGAAAGAGGACCCCAGATTTACCATTGATTTACATTAGACCACGTAAATATGTAGGCCTACTAATTACCATTCGTAACTTGGTTAAAGAAATTAAATTCGCATTATAGTGGCAATGATCATTAAACTGATAAAGTGCAAAATAGTAGTTCAAGCATAAAATGTGCAATATAGCGGTCCTGTTAATGTGGGCCTACATAGGCCTACGGGTTTATTATTTTCTTTACATTGTTAGTGACCAACTATAGTGACCTCTGTACTGATGATCAACATTGTTTAATTATTAGATATTAACAATACAGCCTTTGAGTACTGACAACTAACATTTTTGATGCTATTAGATACCTATTGTTGTTATTTCATTACAGATTATCAAACTTTTTTCTCTATATTGCGAGAAACTGTTGTTAGATGTGTACTAGCAACTAACACTTTATATTGTTAAATATCTACTATAATTATATATGTGTATTGGTAATTAACATATTTATATTGCTAGATATCCCAACACAGTTACATATTCTAACAATTAAAGCTTTTGACTATGTTAGATACTTATCTATTCTGAGAAACTGTTTGGATATTTTGAAATTTCAGATAAGAACTGGCCCTATTCAAGAAATATATATATATAACTGAGTTAAAACGTTGATGTTAATTTTGTTTTTTAACATTACTACACGTCTACTAGTTTAGAACCGTAAAAGAACTAATCAGAATATTGACATTTTAACAATCACCTACTTGGTAGCCTCCACAGAAAAGTTCGTGATCGTTATAATTAGGTGTAGTAGGAAAGCCATATCTCCACATGGACGACCTGGACGGTGGGTCAATCAACCTTCCATGTCCAGCTGAGTGGTCAACGTTGGTTATCATCAACAGGCACACAGTCAGGGAAGTAACACATCTCCAAACCATAGTATACGAGTTCTTAAAAAAGAAGATTAAAAATACTGTCTGAGAAATATTTTCATAGTTTCATATTTGTAATGATTTGCATCAGTTACTAACGATAGGATTGGAGTGTAAAGTTACATTCATAGTAGTCATTAACATGGCGAACGTACTTATTGCTTTACATTGCTATATATTGAGCTGGAAATTCTTTACTGTTTTTATTTAAAATAAAAGGTGAAACATATAACTAGATGTACTTCTGCAGGGTCCCCGAAAGTGTTCTGTTTCAAAAATAAATAAAACCAAAATTAAGAGTAACAAATATTTTTATTTGTTGCTTTTGAAGTTCATATGTTATGCTGTGTTGTAACCTACAGAGTCCATAATTCTTTTCGTGATCCATGGTACGAGCACGTTTTACTGATGTCATGGCATTACAAATTGCAACGTTAAGCGTCCCTTATGTGACGTCATTTTTAGTATCTACTGGCTGACTGACAGACAACAGACTACTGCATAGTAGTGCGAGTGGTTAAAACAGGTGACAAGTCCAGGCGGCCTTCGGTCCCCTTTCGGGGAAATAATATTACTATTTATTTAAAGATAGAATTCACTAACTTCAAAGGATCAAAGAGGAACATACTTATAATAATGTACAATAACATCACACCTAATGCGTAGTTAGAGACACACGTAAATATTACGTAGTTAGAGACACATGTAAATATTCACCAAGCTTAATACATACTCTACTTCTATCAACTTCCAAAATAATTTGGTCTTTAGCTAGGACCCAGTATTTAGCCATGTAAGATAGTTTACTCTCGTATGTCGGATGCTATATCAAACATCAGCTTGTGAAAGGGGAAGAGAACCGGTTACGTGATGTTACAACATTTACAAGCACGGGTACAGTATTTGAGTTTTTTTTTTTTTACTTGCTATAGCGAACATGTATTCATGTATGATTTGAAGAATATGCAGCATTGATGCTACTAATTTATTCTTCCGAACTATTCAGCTGACAAGCTGTTTAAAATCTTTAGTTTTAGTAATTCTATAACAGCTGACTGACCTCTGAACGAATACTCTGAAACTTATGACCAGTGAGTGGACAAGGCACCTAACGGCTTCAGAAAAAAAGTCAAACAAAACCAATGAAACAATGTAAGAGAAAAGTGATAAACGTTTTATATGTAACAAAGCAAACAAAAATTAACTTAAATATTTTAGGGTTATTTGTTGCATTCCAATGTACTTGTAGTTTTCTAATACATTTATATTTTCAAATTAAAAGTCTTCCTGTGAGCCAGCAGTAAGTTTCCGGATTCACAACGCTAAAATCCGGGGTTCGATTCTCCGCGGTGTACAGCGCGCATGCAGGCCATCGTGTAGCTTTGCATTAAAAACTACCAACCAACTTTCAAATTAAAATGAAATGTAAAGTTTTTATTACAAAAATAAGTCCACATCACTTCGAAAGTTAACTCTGATTCTCTGTTTCTTTTGAATAAGACCCTTATTTAACACTTAGCTTATAGACCAGCTATAATTATAAAATGAAACCAATTATGATCGAGTACTGAATTAGCTTATAAACTAACTAGATACCACTAAGTTCGAGTACTGGATTAGTTTATAAACCAACTATAATTGTAAAATTAAACCCATTGAACTGGAGTACTGGATTACATCATAAACCAACTGTAACTGTAATATGAAACCCATAGAACTGGAGTACTGGATTACATTATAAACCAACTGTAACTGTAATATTAAATTCATTAAGTTCAAATATTGGATTAGCTTATAACCTAATTATAAACCCATTGAATTCGAGTACTGTGTTAGCTTTAACCTAACTGTAACTGTATAAAAGCCATTAAGTTCGAGTATTGGATTAGTTTATAAACTAAGTATAATCGTAACATGAAAACCATTATGCTTAAGTACTGGATTAGCTTATAAACCAGCTGTATCTGTATAAAAATCATTAAGTTCGAATACTGGATTAGCTTATAAACCAAGTATATTTCTAATGTAAAACCCATTAACTAAGCCCAAGTGTTCAGTCAAGTTCACTCTTCAGGTTGTTGGTTTGTTGAATCGCGTAGCATATAGCAATTTAAAAGCAGGAAAGTGTGAAAGTTTATTTTGTTGTGAAGCGCAAAGCTACACAGTGGGCTATCTAGAAAGTGTGAAAGATCCTTGAACTCTGCACATGAGTAATTTTTAAAAACACATTAATATTTTGAGGTTTTGGCAAGAAAGATGTAAAAGTTTCAGGTGCATCGCTAGAGAACGACTATATTTATGAAACCCAACGAAGTGAACTGTTCATACATGCTACACGTGCAAGATTAATGATGAAGATCATGCACAAGGATATGAAGACATAAAAATGCTTACAATGGTTTAAAGTAGACAAAATATTGTTAACGTTTTAGAAATGGCTTCTTTTGCCGAAATTTCGTTCACTGATCTTGCTTTTTTTCATCTAATATTTAGCCAATTTCACTAGTCTAAATATTTCCCCACTTCTTCGTTATTTGTTTTAATTTTTGATCTACTTATTTATCAGGAATTTTACGATTATATTGATGATAGACCAGTTCCTTCATTTTCTACAATTTTAAACCGACCCAGATTGAAATACAAATATGTTTTCATAAATTACATCACAGATTGTTTCCAGTAAGCGCCTTTTCTCCTGTCAGTTCTGTCTCCGTCAAATATTTCAATGAAGTCTAATCTAAGTTGCAACATGCAAATATTTGCATGTTGCTCCCTACCCCTTTCTTAAGTTTACTTAAATAATGATGTATCAATATAGTATTGCAGGAATTCAGATAATTAAGGTTCTGAAATTTGGACAAAAATACTTCTCAAATAATTGTTGCGTTTCTTCTTAGCGCTGCTATAAGCATGTGGGCTCATATTCTGATATTCGGGGTTCGAGCCCTGCGGCGGATACGATGCAGATAGACAGTTTTGCGCTGAAACTAAACAAATGAACGATTGTTGCAGTATTTAGGCTAAGAGTGTTAAGAGTATATAATGATGTAACAAATACAAATAAGTTAAAGAAAGATTAAGCAAATTATAACTTGGCTATACTCACATGGTTTTCCTTCGTGTCTCAGTGGTGAAGTAACTATACAGATTTATTCGATCAGTGGTCTAAAAGTTGGGTTGCTCTAGATTCGACGAAGATTCTCACGTTTTTCCCATCAAGTGAAGAATGAATGACTGAGACAGTCGTTTTAAAGGGAATTTGGCTCAACCAACGACGGAAGTGGCGTATGAATGCATCCGCGGAACTCATTATTATCAGACTATGGGCGTGGGTCTCTTTCGTAATTGGTTTCTTGCGTATTATCTCATTTTCCGGTGTGAAATCAGAGATCTTTGTCTTTGACTGAAACATCTTATAGTTCAGCTAGTTTTAAGTTCAGAAACCAGGTTCAAGGGCATGTCGATTTTTAGTTATCTTTAACAACTAGTAAATTCCTGTACTCAAACAAATCTTGTTGAAGATGATAAAATTAAAAATTTCTCAAAGCAAGACTCGCAAGTGTCTTCGAACTTTAACATTAACTAAGTGCAAGCTTTGTGAGTAGAAAACATAAGCTAAACCATTCGGACTTTCTATGAACTCACTGGGGAGGAGGGGGGTTGCAGCGTGAAGTATGATGTAGCAAGTATTGTTTCCTTACACCACTGTCACGTGTTCTTAACTACGGTTTGCCATATTACTGCCACCAAAGGTGCTGTGAGGCAATCATGTGGAATGTTTTGGTATTATGAGTCATAAGTGACGTAAATACTTTCAGTAAACTGAGCACTAGGACAGATTGCTTGGTGGTCTTTCTTCATGGGTTAACTTTTGTGTGATCTATTTATTGTTCATAGAGAAAGGCACTTTTGACATTAAGCTAAGTGCTGTGTGTTATCTCCTGTAGTTCGTAGTTCGACGAACAGAATCTTATGTAAGGAAATGTATATAGTGAAGGTGACTGAAAACAGTGGAGTCATTTCCTATTTATGTTTTTCTTATGTGTTAACACATTGATGAGGTTATGTAATAATCTATATTAATATAACACTCAGTGGGGGGGATGAAAAAAAAGTCTCATGAAGACATGGGAAACGGACGGGGGGGGGTCAAATCCAAACCCCTGACTGTCAGTGTCACTCATCGCGGGGCTATAAAATTGTATGCCAGGTTTGGTGACAATAGAACCATCGGTTGGATAGTTATAGGCGGACACATATCCACACACACACTTACATAGTTTTGTTAAACAATAGCTTAGATAAATGAACCTCGTGACTTTCACTCCAAAGCCTTTTGAATAAGCTTAATTAGCTCCGTTTTACGAAGATACAGCCTGTTCGTGAAGTGAAAAAAGTTGAGAGACATTATGTATATGATGTTTTGAGTCGTGACGTAAATGTTTATGATGTTTTATCCTAAACAAGTAGATTCACAGAGTATGGCTTTAGTACTTGTACTGGAAAACGAAATATTTGGTGGACGTTTGATACAAAGACCAACAAGCGTTTTTATGTTGGCAACAGCTGAGATGATACATATTTCAAACTTTTTATCCTTGTAACAGCTGGGACGATATGAATAACACAACACGTTTTTATTCAAGGCAATGTGAATACCAAAACACGTTTTTATTTCGGTAACAGCCGGAACGATATGAATACCAAAACACGTTTTTATTTCGGTAACAGCTGGAACGATATGAATACCAAAACACGCCTTTATTCGGGTAGCAACTGGGATAATATGAATACCAAAACACGTTTTTATTTCGGTAACAGTCGGAACGATATGAATACCAAAACACGTTTTTATTTCGGTAACAGCTGGAACGATATGAATACCAAAACACGCCTTTATTCGGATAGCAACTGGGATGATATGAATACCAAAACACGTTTTTATTTCGGTAACAGCCGGAACGATATGAATACCAAAACACATTTTTATTCAAGACAATGTGAATGCCAAAACACGT